CATACATATGTTTCCTGGTGTGTGCCCTGGGTGTGACAGCGGGTGCCCATCGCTTGTGGAGTCACAGATCTTACAAAGCCAGACTGCCTCTGCGAATATTTTTGGCTGCAGCCAATTCCATGGCATTTCAGGTGGGTATTTAGAATCGATTCACACAGCACTTGAACTCTTTGTAAGCAATCGTGTAAGGCTGAAGTGGCCAACCTTGGCAACTTGAAGACCTGTGGAGTTCAACTCCCAGAATTCCCCAGCCTGTTATGCCGAGTTTTACTACCGGTTCTTGCGAACCGGTCCGAACCAGGGGCAACCCACCTCAAAAAGGGGCAAAAAATATTGTAAAATATTTTAAAATATTTTACAATATTGTAAAATATTGTAAAATCAGGTGCAACTGTTGGGCATGAAGCATCAAGACCACATGTCAAGTTCCATTTAAGCTGATTTATTGCCAATGCCATTATATAAGAATCTAGTCAACTGATAGCACTAGATAAGAGCCAGCGGAATTCAAGAAGGGTTGGACTTAGACAGCTTGTGAGAACCTAATGATTCCAGGCTAATTCCTTTCTTGACTCCACCCCCAGGCTCTGCCTCTCTTTCTCCTGTATCTGGTCACTTAACAACTACCTTGTTTAGCGATAGAAATTCTGGTCTCAATTGTGGTTGTAAGTTGCAGACTACCTGAATATTAATCTCTCCATCCTGTAAGGCAGGGGTGTCAAACTCAAGGCCGGATCTGGCCCGTGGGGTACTTAGATCCGGCCTGTGGGACTGGCCTGGAAATAACAAAGGCAGTGCCTCTGCTAGTGAAAACGGGCTGCCGTGGGGGGAGCTGGGCGGCCCCCTTGCGGCCTGTTTTCAGCCTGGACGGCCTCCTGCAGCACCCTGCTGGCCAAAATGGGGTGTGGGTGGCTGCGGGCGGCTCCCACACAGTCTGTTTTCAGCCTGGATGGCCTGCTGCAACACCCTGCCAGCCAAAACGTCTCCTCCACATACCCCTGACCCGCGGAGGACAAGTACAATGCTAATCCGGCCCACCAAGAAATCCAGTATGACACCCCCTGCTGTGAGGGGCAAAGGCACAATGGATGGGGCTGCTTATGGTCTGAGAAGAGGTAATACTGCTCTTCAGGTATGTTATTGTCCACAATTGAAATATCTCTTGTGCTGGAATCATGCTCATAAGGAACTTCTGCTATTGTCAACAAGATTGTTATAAACCAGGGGTATCAAACTGGCGGCCCATGGGCCAGATCCATCACATACAGGCCACGCCTACCCCAGCTCCGTGAATGAGAAAAATGTCACAAAATGTCATGTGGTGGCAATGTGATGCCACAAGTTTGACATCCGTGTAATAAATGATAATTATAGTATGTGAGTGAGAGAAAGAGGGTGCAAAGGAAGAAACAAATGTATATAAATAAAGGGATTGTGTATTCAGTTTAATCCTGAGCAGGCATTGCTTGGGATTGTACAGGGCCCTGGTCAACCGGCAATTTAGTTTGCAGAATTATTTATTTTCCAGTTTTTATTATCCAGGTAAATCTTAGAAGCCACCGAAGAGAAACCCAGCAGCTGGTTTCTTGACTCTACAACAGAGAAGTATTTGAAATGACATAGACTATAGCAGGGTTGTCAAACTCCCGGCCCGGTGACTGGAGGCAGTGGTGGGATTCTACCGGTTCAGACCGGTTCCTGCGAATCAGTAACTCTAACGATCAGCTGGGAACAAACCGGTTCGCTCCGATGATCAGTTGGGAGCAAACCAGTTCGTCCTGACGATCAGATGGGCCCACCTGTCTACCCGCTCTATTTTCCTACCTTTATCTCCTCAGCTGATTGCTGTGGCAGAGCCGATTGCCGCGCAAATCAGCTGCGTTACTCCTCTGAAGAAACCAGGAAGTGAAAATTTTTTCAAATTGCGCAGACGCACACAGCGCTCGTCCATGAGCGAAGCATGTGATCACCAAAATGGTTGTTAAACCGGGAGGATCCCACTGCTGACCGGATGTGTCATGCGCTAACCACATACATGCCTGGTATAGCGAAGGGGAAAAAGTCCCGATATATCTCGTGACACTGCCATGACGATGTGAGTTTGACACCCCTGGGCTATAGGGTGAGAGATGTCTGCACCTGCTACAGTATTTATATGTTAAAAATAAGCCCATTTGCTCTCCTCCTAAAAGCTCAGGTGTTGAGGTAAAAATACTTCCGAAGTCTCATAGGAGGTAGAAGCAACAAAATAGCCAGAGGGAAATTTCCTTTGGAAACGAAGCCAGCTGCTATCTTTGATAGTACTTGACATAAACAGTTGTTTTTGTGACAGAGCAAACAATGCTGTTGCTTGTCCCAAAGGTGCTTTTTCAAAAGGCAATTGGACTTTCTTTGTTTTTCTTTGAAGATGTTTTTGCTTCTCGTTCTTCAGAAGTGAAGAAGCTTCTTGGATGAGAAGCGAAACGTCCTCAAGGAAAAACAAAAGAAGTCCAGTTGCTTTTTGAAAAAGCACCTTTGGGACAACCGTGACCTGGATGACTGAGAATCTCCAGAGACAATCATCATCTTCCTTTAATGACCCCATAATCCCTTGAGGGGGTGGAGTCTCGGCAACTGAATGGAGCTAGCAGAGTGATTTAATGACCGGTTGCCCTTCCTGTTGCCAATGCAGAGTTTTGTTCAGCAGATATATTCCCAGTGTGCCCCGAGAGAGAAATATCTGCCTCTACATAGGTTCGAACTCACAGCCTCCTGATTGTGAGGCAAGAGCTCCATCTCTAGGCCACCGCCCCACTCCAATCTCCATAGACAACGCTGTTGCTTAAAAACACAACATGGGCAAGCAAGGTCCACAAAACCATGACACTTTATTTTCTCCTTCTCTTTTGTGCAGAATGATATTTTTGAGTGGGCCCGAGACCACCGAGTGCACCACAAATACTCCGAGACGGATGCTGACCCGCATAATGCCCAGCGGGGATTCTTTTTCTCCCATATCGGCTGGCTCTTTGTTCGGAAGCATCGTGACGTCATTGAGAAAGGAAGAAAACTGGATTTCAGTGATTTATTGGAGGATCCGGTGGTGATCTTTCAGAGAAAGTGAGTGATAATCGTAAACACGAGTAGGGCTGGAAATACACTGGTAGTCCATCATAGCAGGTTTTCAAGTCAAAGTTAGCCAGCTTTTGGGATTGTAGTTGGGCAGAGGTGTCAAGTTTCGAGGTCGTCTCAAATAAATTGCATTTCAAACAAAGTCTTTGAAGAAAAACTCCCATTTATTAAGCACGACATTCTAGCTCCGACTCATCGCAGCCAACACTGACTTCCAGACCCAAAACCCTCCCTTTCCGTTCCCCACTCCCCTGCACTCATTGGCCATCTTCCAAGTCACTCTACCCCTAATTTACTGCTCCAGCACAAAGGAATTTCCCCCCTCCCATCCCATCTCCTAGGGGATATTATCTCCAGGGAAAATAAGTAGGTGAAAAGTCAAACGTCCCTTTCCAGACGCCTCCGCTTCTCCTTCTTATGTCAGCACTAGAGTAACTGTAGCTTGAAATGCTGACAAGAGGATTGGATTAGATCAGCAAAGCTGGCTAGGGAATTCTGGGAGTTGAAGTCTACCAATCTTAAACTTCTCAATCTGGAGAAACATTGGCCTAGATTAGGGGTCAGCAACCCACAGCTCTGGAGCCGCATGTGGCTCTTTCATCCCTCTGCTGCGGCTCCCTGTCGCTCAAAGTATGCGTCACTGCCGCCAATGTGCGACACCTGCCGGCATGTGATTTATTGAGCTTTTCAACCCCCGGTAGACCAACCATGGATAAATCCAAGAAAAGAAACGTTTCAGAAGAAAACAGAATGTTTACTTCAACTACATATGCTAGTTTTGTGGTCGCTCAGGAAATAGCACGGGAAGGGTTTTGTGGCTCCCGGTGTTTTCTTTTCTGTGGGAAACAGATCCAAATGGCTCTTTGAGTGTTTATGGTCACTGACCTCTGGTCTAGATGACCCCCAGCGTCCCTTCCAACTCAATGACTCTATGATAATTAGCATTTTCCAACTAAGGGCTTGTAGAGTTGCATTAGTGATTTTTCAGAGGTGCAAGTCCATGAAGGAGAGGACTTATGAATTTAACAAACAGTGCCATTTATAGGACTGTTATGGCGGCCGCGATACATTAATTACTGCACAGAGTTGAGCACAAAGTTCATGGAAAGTTGGAAGAACAATCCCACATTCGTGGAAAAACTGTATAGAGTATACAAAACTCTCTTATAAATAATGACACAATTGGGGATTGGGATCAATTCCTGCATAAATAAATTTATTTTTTTATTTTTTATTTTATTTCAGATTTCTATACCGCCCTTCTCCTTTCGGACTCAGGGCGGTGAACAGCCAAAGTAAAACACTTTATACACAAAAGTTAAAATAGATTTAAAATAATTAAGTAAATTTGGCCCATAATTTAAAACATTTCAATTTAAAACCAATTTCAAATTTTAAAAACCCATCATATGACTTTGTCCATGAAGATTAGCCAATCTGAAAAACTACGGCGATAGTTGGCTTGCTGAATTTTGGGGGGGAAAGATTTCTAATTCTACAGGTGCATTGATCTCTGACTGAAATAATCAGTCGCTAATACTGCTGGGAACATCTTAATTTAGCCACAATTCCTGCTTTGTTTCTCACCTGAGTCTTACTTCAAAAGAAAAGGGAAAGGAAAGAACGAAATGAATAGACCTGGATAACAAAAGAAACCACCAGCCAGGCTGAAAAGCAGCTTTTAAGAATATCCCAGCATGGAAGAAAACACGCACACACAAACATTTAAAGCATTAAAAATGGATTTAAAACGTTAAAAAGATGCTTTTAGAAAGAACGGGCTCAAAGAGATCTCCCTTCAAACACAGTGAGTTGCACAATGCTTCTATTATTAATCCCACCCCCATTAAGACTTAAATAACCCCAAACTGCCCTTTTATTCGTTTCTTGGATACATGGATGTCTCACATTTTCACCAGGGATTTTTTATTCCCATAGCCACAACCTCATGGAGTAGTCTAAGTGGGCTGAAAGAGGGAGCGACAACAGGGGTGAGCTTCAAAAATTTTAGCAAAGGGTTCTCTGCCCAGTTGTTGGGTGGGCATGGCCATGGTGGGAGTGGCCTAATCGGCATCCTGCATCACGGAGTGTGTGTGTGTGTGTGTGTGTGTGTGTGTGTGTGTGTGTGTGTGATTTTGCCCTCCCCAGGCTCCGGAGGCTTTCCTCAAGCCTCTGGGAGGGTGAAAACGACCTCCCCAGATTCCAGAGCAGGGGTGGGTTCTAATTTTTTTTTACTACCGGTTCTGTGGGCGTGGCTTATTTTGTGGGTGTGGCTTGGAGGTCATGTGACTAGATAGGCGTGGCTAGCTGGTCAGAGTCATTTCTGGAAGGTCCTCACACTTACGACCAGTCCTCGCACTTACGACCCGACTCATTTGTTTGCTTTTAACACTGATCAGCTGCAGGAGGGCCCTTTGAAGCCCTGCGGCAAGAGTTTAAACAGTTTTTTTCCCTCTAGTCATCAGCTGGGACTCAGGAGGCAGCAATAGATTGGGGTGGGACCAAATAAAAGGTAAGAATAACGTGGGGGGGAGGGCAGGGGGGAGGAGAACCGGTTCGGTGATGTCATATTGTCACCGCTACCGGCTCGGCCGAACCGGACCAAACCGGGAGGAACCCACCACTGCTCCAGAGGCCTTCTGGAGGCCAGAAACAGGCCTGTTTCCAGCCTTCCTGATCTTCCGGTAGGCCTGTTTCTCACCCTCCCCGTGTGCGCCCTGCACTTACCTGCATCCAAAATGCGCCACGTGGGGACTTCTGGGAGGGGTGGGGCCTGCCAGGAGTGGGATTTGGGGGTCTCTGAACTGCACAGAATCTTAGCTAGAGGTTCTCCCGAACCCCTGAGAACCCCCAGCAGCCCACCCCTGGGCAACATCCAGTGGCTGCGAGTGGATTTGAACCATGGAAAGCAAGATGGTTCAGAAAAATTAGAGAAAGTGTTGGACAAGGAAGGGACCCTGGTTTCCAGAGGTTTCCGAGCTAAAATGAGGAATTTTCAGCAAGACAGCCCGATGACACCGTAAAAATCAATACATTTTTAGTGAAGAAGCTATGAATGCTTATGCTGCAATTTGCTACGCCATGGGAATTTGTTGCTTTTTTTTTTTTTGAGTAGAAGGAAAGCTTCTTTGTTCCCGTTAAAAAGAAAGAAAACATGATGACAGCAGAAGGAAGGGGAACATCATCAGGCGTGAGAAACAGGCAGAATTTTATCTCTTGGGGGAGTCGGGCATAAAATGCTTTCCAAGCTTCTGCATGGAGGAGAAAGAAGTCTTGACAAAATGACAATTACTTCAAGAGGGATGGTTCCAAACAAAGGAACAGACTCTTGTGCCCTCCACGCACACAAAGGCCCTGAGTGATAAGGGTGCCATTCATGGCAGCTTGCAGAAAGATAAATATTTTGAGGTGGTAGAGGAGGCGAAGGACAGACATTTTAATAGATTCCCTAGCTGAAACATTTTATCTTGCAATGTTAACTGAAAAAACATCTCTTTTTTTCCCCCCAGCTGGAAGTTAGAATATTCTTTTTATTTCCTGGTGAAAAAAGCAACTAAAGAGATTATTATTATTATTATTATTATTATTATTATTATTATTATTATTATTATTTATTGAATTTATATACCGCCCTTCTCCCCGAAGGGACTCAGGGCGGTGAACAGCTGAAAATTAAAATAACATACAATATAAAAGTTAAGATAACTAAAAAATAAATTAAATTAATTGCCTCCGCCCCCCCAATTTAAAACCCCAAGCTATACAATTAAAAACTAACCCATAAAACCTATTCAGGCCAGGCCAGCTTGCTGAAATAAAAACGTCTTCAGGGTCTTACAGAAAGTGCGGAGATCCGGGATCACCCGTATTCCAGGAGGTAGCTCGTTTCAGAGGGCGGGTGCCCCCACAGAGAAGGCTCTCCCCCTGGGGGCCGCCAGCCGACATTGCTTGACTGACGGCACCCTGAGGAGGCCCTCTCTGTGAGAGCGTATTGGCCGGTGGAAGGTTATCGGTAGCAGAAGGCGGTCTCGTAAATACCCTGGCCCTAAGCCATGGAGCGCTTTAAAGGTGAGAACCAACACCTTGAAGAGCACCCGGAAGACCACCGGGAGCCAGTGCAGCTCGCGCAGGAGAGGTGTTATATGGGAGCGCCATGTCGCTCCCGTAATCACCCGCGCGGCCGCATTCTGGACCAGTTGGAGCCTCCGGGTGCTCCTCAAGGGGAGCCCCATGTAGAGAGCGTTACAGTAGTATAATAATCAAAAGTTTACAGGTGTCAAGGAAATGCTCATGCTAATTGTGAAGATGGCAGCAGACTTGGGTAGAGATTTGAATCAGAATAGAGCAGGAAAAGACCTTGTGGAGGTCTTCTAGTCCAGCCCCCCTGGTCAAGCAGGAGACCTTATATCATTTCAGACCAATGACTGTCCAATCTCTTCTGAAAACCCTCCAGTGATGGAGCACCCACAATTTCTGATGGCAAGCTGTTAATTGTCCTCACTGTTAGGAAGTTTCTCCTCAGTTCCAGGTTGCTTCTCTTCTTGATTAGCTTTCATCCATTGTCTCTTGTCCTGCCCTCAGGTGCTTTGGAGAATAATTTGACCCCCCTCCTCTTTGTGACAACCTCTCAAATACTGGAATACTGCTATCACGTCACCCCTAATTCTTATTTTCTTTAGACTAGCCAAACCCAAAACCTTCAGCTGTTCTTCATATGAGCCACAGTGGTGCAGTGGTTAGCTTGACCCCCTCCTCCTCTCTGTGGCAGCCCCTCAAATATTGGAAGACTGCTATCATGTCTCCCTTGGTCCTTCTCTTTACTAGACTAGCCATGCCCAGTTCCTGCAACCCTTCATCGTGTATGTTTTAGCCTCCAGTCCCCTAATCATCCTGGTTGCACATTTACCCTGGGATGCTGCAACTATCATAATAGCAATAGCACTTAAACTTATATACCACTTCACAGTGCTTTACAGCCCTCGCTAAGTATATTTTACAGAGTCAGCCTATTTCCATCAGCAATCTAGGTCCTCATTTTACCAACCTCGGAAGGATGGAAGACTGAGTCATTTCCATTTCATTTTATTTGATTTATATACCGCCCTACTCCTGAAGGACTCAGGGCGGTGAACAGGCACAAGATAAAACACATAGAATACAAAAATTTAAGAGCAGAAGTAAAATCGAATTAAATCAATTTAGCCCAAGACAAATTTAAAACCCCAGGTTAAGAACAAATTAAAATTTACATTAAAATTTACATTAAAAAGAGAATGGGAGAGGTTAGGCCAGACCAGCCAGGTGAAATAAAAAGGTCTTGAGAGCGCGGCAGAAGGTGCGTAGATCTGGGATCCTCCGTATCTCCGGGGGGAGCTCGTTCCAGATAGTAGGTGCCCCCACAGAAAAGGCTCTCCCCCTGGGGGCCACCAGCCGACATTGTTTGGCCGACGGCACCCGGAGGAGTCCTTCTCTGTGAGAGCGTACCAGCCGGTGGGAGGCCGTTTGCGGCAACAGGCAGTCCTACCTTGAGCTGGTGAGAATCGAACTACTGAACTGCTGGCAGCCGGCAGTCAGCAGAAGGAGCCTGCACTACTGCATTCTAACCACTGCGCCTCTGCATGTTACGTACTTGGTTTGCCAAGTGCATTAATAACAACAATGAGGCAATAACAGGAAAGAGGTTTTACACTGCCATAAAAGAGTAGTTAGGTGGACACTGTAAATTATGAAGAGCCGCAGTGGCACAGTGGTTAGAATGCAGTACTGCAGGCTACTTCTGCTGCCTGCCGGCTGCCTGCAATTTGGCAGTTCCAATCTCACCAGGCTCAAGATTGACCCATCCTTCCAAGGTGGGTAAAATGAGGACCCAGATTGTTGGGGGCAATATGCTGACTCTGTAAACCGCTTAGAGAGGGCTGTAAAGCACTGTAAAGCGGTATATACGGTAAGTCTAAGTGCTATTGCTGTTGCTATACGGTTTGGTGCCCAGGCCTTTGATCATCATATATTGACAACCTATCTCCCATTATTTTTCCTTCTCACTTGGAATCATGGTTACGGGATTCTGGAATCATAGTTACGGGAAATATTGCCTCGTATAACCCAGTCACCCCTGTGTTTTTCTTTCTTTCTTCACAGGTACTATAAAAGTTCAGTTGTGTTGATGTGTTTTGTCATTCCTACTATCGTGCCTTGGCATTTCTGGGGCGAGAGCATATGGAATTCATACTTCTTGGCTTCTATTCTCCGCTACACCATCTCCCTCAACGTTGCTTGGTTGGTCAATAGTGTGGCTCACATGTATGGAAACAGGCCCTATGACAAAAACATCAACCCTCGGCAGAATGGCTTTGTCACTTTCGGAGCTATCGGTGAGTTGCCTAGTTTTGGGAAAGGTGGCCTTGAGGTTGCTTTTCTCCAGACTGCTTTAATGGTGCTTTAGGGACGTACACAGCAGTGGTGGGTTCCTCCCGGTTCGGTCCAGTTCGGCCGAGCCGGTAGCGGTGACAATATGATATCACTGAACCGGTTCTCCCCCCCCCCCGCCCAGCCCACATTATTCTTACCTTTTATTTGGTCCCACCCCCAATCTATTGCTCCCACCTGAGTCCCAGCTGATGACTAGAGGGAAAAAAAATGTTTAAACTCTTTCTGCAGGGCTTCAAAGGGCCGTCCTACAGCTGATCAGTGTTAAAAGCAAACAAATGAGTCAGGTCATAAGTGCGAGGACTGGTCGTAAGTGCGAGGACCTTCCATAAATGTCTCTGACCAGCTAGCCACGCCCACTTAGTCACATGACCTCCAAGCCACATCCACAAAATAAGCCACGCCCACAGAACCAGTAGTAAAAAAATTTAGAACCCACCCCTGGTACACAGGTTGTGGTGAAAAAGAAGATGGCAGCTGTGTTGGTGGGATCAAGGGTTTTCTTCTTTTTTATGGGTGTTTTATGAAATCTCCAAAGGCAGACAATATTAAGAATTTCTGGTATGGGTGAGAAATTAAACACCTCCTTGCCAGGAATCAACACCCAGATTAACACCAAGATTAACAAAATAGACAGGGGTGGGCTGCTGGGGGTTCGCAGGGGTTCAGGAGAACCTCTAGCTAAGATTCTATGCAGTTCGGAGAGCCCGCAAATCGCACTCCTGGTTGGCCCCACCCACCCCGCCCCTCCCAGGAGTCCCCATGTAGCCCGTTTTGGATGCAGGTAAGTGCAGGGTGCGCACCGAGGCTCGGGGAGGGTGAGAAACGGGCCTACCGGAAGATCGGGAAGGCCGGAAATGGGCCCATTTCTGGCCTCCAGAGGGCCTACGGAGCCTGCGTAGGCAGTTTTCACCCTCCCGAACGCTCGAGGAAAGCCTCCGGAGTCTGGGGAGGGCAAAAACGCCCCCTCCCTGTTGTGGTGTAGGAGGCCGACATGGCCACGCCCACCCAGCAACCAGACAGAGAACCCCTTGCTAAAATTTTTGAAGCCCACCCCTGAAAATAGAGCAACAATGAAGAAGTGAACAATATCCCAATCAAGGGATCAACATCCCATTCAAACAAACAAGCTAACAATAAAGAACAGCCTAAACAAGGAACCACCAAGATCATTTCAGCCAACAATGACAGAGCAAGCCACTAGTATACCAAATGACAGCAATTCCCGCTCCCTTTTAGTACTGATGGTGTTACCTAGTTTGGTAATGAAATGTTTGAAAGAACATACAACATTATTTTTTTAGAACTCTTTCTTCAGCTACAGTACATAGTAAACTAAGCAAGAGTGGGAGGAAGAAACAATGTCTTATGTTAAATTTATAGAATCTTCATTTAATTATTATCTTAATATGGAATGTCAGAATGTTTACGGCGTGACTACTATTTTGAGACAACCCAGGAGCAAAACACAGGACACAGGCTTGTCTTACAAACAGTGGTTTATATACAAGATGTCTGTATACATACATACATGTGGTAGGCACATACCAGGCAATCAATCAATCTTCAACTCTACACGGAGAGCTACAATGCAGATAGAACACAACGAGAAGAGTGATACACGAGGAGAGAGAGAGAGAGACGCCCTCTCATGGCCTCCCTTATATAGACAGCTTCTTAAAGCGGCAATAACCCTGCTGACTCATCCTCAGTCTTAAAGCGGCAATAACCCTGTTGACTCATGGAACATGGCAGGCATTCTAAGCACTCTCAGAGGTGAGTTTTAGATTGTTATGCAGGAGCTTCCCCAAAGCTCTTAAGAAACATAATACAGGTACTCTTACGACCAAAATTGAGCCCAAAATTTATGTTGTTAAATGAGAAATGTGTTAAGTGAGTTTGTCCTACTTTACGACTTTTCTTCCCACATTTGTTAAGTGAATCGCTGCAGTTGTTAAGGCAGTAACCCGGTTGTTAAGTGAATTGGGCTTCCCCATTGACTTTGCTTGTCAGAAGGTCGCCAAAGGGGAATCACATGACCCCGGGATGCTGAAACCATCCAAATGTAAATCACAAGACCCTGGGGATGGTGCAACGGTCATAAGTGTGAAAAACAGGCATAAGACCCTTTTTTTCCAGTGACGTTGTAACTTTGAATGGTCACTAAACAAACTGTTGTAAGTCGAGGACTATCGGTAGTTCCCATTTTGAGAGGATAAAATCTAATCATCCAACATAAGTGGAAAACAGAAGTAAAGGGAACAAGAAATCAGGACATTGGCTTGTTGGAACATTTCATTTTGGACGCCCTGTCCAAAATACTTCATTACAGGACGTAGCTCTTCAAATCCTTTTGTTGGTCAAAATCAGTAGTGGTATTCACTTACTTTCGCTACTGGTTCGGAAATGTGAGTGCGCACGCCATCTCTGCACATGCGCAGAGCTGGCGTGATGACATCCAGGCGGGTGGGAGGAGTTTCACCCAAACCAGATAGAACCAGTAAAATAATGAAAATAATAGCTGTTCCTCCATGAAAATGTCTACTGCCTCTGCTTGTTGATACTATATTCTGCTTTTTCCTTCTCTATCTTTGACCCTACTTTTCATTTCCTCTGGGTTCTGTTTTCCAGGAGAAGGCTTCCATAATTACCACCATACCTTTCCGTTTGATTATTCGGCCAGCGAGCTTGGCTTGAAGTTCAACCCAACCACATGGTTCATTGACTTGATGTTTTGGTTGGGTTTGGTCACTGAGAGGAAGCAAGCACCCAAGGAGATGATCAAAGCTCGCAGAGAGAGAACTGGAGATGGTACTTCTTGAGAAACAAACCGACTTCTTGAATTCAGATGCTGCTGTATGTGTCGTTTGTATGTTTCTTCATTGAGGGGGGCTTCTGTCCCAAACCTTCCCCTTATAACAAAAGTAGTATTTTTCATTGAATGATGGCCAAATTCATTTCTGGAGAAATGTCATTTTCCTTTAGTGCAGTCCTTTTTCTATGGCAGAAAACACTTTAAATATTCATTCATCTTCCAAGAAAGGTGTGAATTTTCCCATAATGTAATGCCCTTCAGATTCGTTGAACTCTAGTTCCCCATAATCCAAAGGCAATTGTGGCCTTTGGACGTGTGAGTCCAACACATCTGGAAAACACCTGGTTGTATGGAAAGACTCAATGGGCAGTCCTTGGGGTTGTGGGTGCTAGATCTACTGAAGGCATGAGATCTACCAACCATGGGGCAAAGCATGATGGTTTTGCCTCTAGACATACAGAGGTCCATCTGACATGTTGCACTCTGATGTAGAATGTAAAACTGGCTAGGAAAAACTGGGCAGCTTACTTACTTACCTGGTCTAAAGCATCCCTTTAGCTCATAAACAGGTCACTAGATGCGCTGAATACGGTACATTAAACTTCCTGAATGCTCTCTATGATTTGAGGGAATGCTCTAGGGCAGTGATGGTTAACCTTTTTGCCATTGCGTGCCAGGAACGGGGGGGAGGGGGGGTCACGCACACATGTGCCCACACCCATAATTCTATGCGCCACGCCCCCACTCCCCCCCTCACTGGAAGTTGGCAAACGGGCTGTTTCCGGCCTCCGGAGGGCCTCCGGGGGGATGGGGAAGGCCATTTTCACGCTCCCCAAACTCCTAGAAAGGCTCTGGAGGCTGGGGAGAGCAAAAAAACGGGCCTTCCGATCCCACCGGAAGTTGGCAAATATGCTGTTTCTGGCCTCCGGGGGGCCTTGGGGGGGTGGGGAAGGCTGTTTTCGTCCTCCCCAACCTCCTAGAAAGGCCTGGGGAGAGAGAAAAATGGGCCTTCCCCACCACCACCCAAGGCCCTCCGGAAGCAGGAAACAGCCTGTTTCCCTACTTCCAGTGGGCCCTTGAGCTGAGCTCGCATGCCCAACAATATGGCTACGCATGCCATAGATTCACTATCACGGCTCAGGAGGATCCTCAACACAGTCTCCTGCAGTCGTGCATGACAGGACAAGCTCATCAGCAGTAGGCCATCTTCCTTTAAAGCAGGGGGAGGGGTCTCCACTTTAAGCCTGGCGGACTTCAACTCCCAGAATTCCCAAGCTGGCTGGGGAATTCTGGGAGTTGAAGTCCGCCAGGCTTAAAGTTGCCAAGGTTGGAGACCCCCCTGCTTTAAAGGGTAGCTAAAAAAACTCCTGATACCCCCCCCCCCCCCCAAGAATGTAAAATCCCTCCATCTGCACTTGGTTTTAGCGGAATTGATTGTAGAATTAAAGCTGTCTTAAATACTTTTTTTTAAAGATTACATATTATTTAGTATTAAAAGCAAACGATATTTGATTTGATGTAGTCGTCCTGACAATACACCATCCTTCTCCTTGCCCTCATCGTCTGCAGTAAATATGGCCACTGATCACGCTAGTTGGCAATGAACTGTAAAGCCAATTCCTACTGTCCAATTCATGTCACGAACTCTAATCCAGTTCGTGTTATCTGAACGAAGAAGCTCTGAATGTACTACTACTTGGATACACACAGTGGTGGGATTCAGCCAGTTCGCACCACTTCGGGAGAACCAGTTGTTAACTTTCTGAGCAGTTTGGCAAACTGGTTTTTGGAAGAAATCATTAGGCAGAGAACCGGTTGTTAAATTACTTGAATCCCACCACTGGATACACAATGCATCTCTTAACAGAATGAAGGCACTTACAGTTCTTTAAATGAAAGGAAATCAACTGTTTAATTTAAAATAACTCTGTCATGCCTCTTCCTCTGCCTTGGCCTTGGGGTTTCTTGTACACCGTTAAAAGGACTCTTTGAAAAGAACTTTCCCCCTTGTTTAAGCAAAAGTGTAGCTTGGTAGGTGTGAAGAAGAATTCATGAAAAATGGATTGCTACATCCTCCCGTGAAGCGAATGGGAAAGTATTGTAAATTATCACATGATCTCCATGATCAAAGGCAGTGTTTTTCCACCATGGCCACTTTTAAGATGGGTGGACTTCAATTCCCAGAATTCCCCAGCCAGCATAGGATAGCAGAGCTGGCTAGGGAATTCTGGGAGTTGAAATCCACCCGTCTTAAAGTGACCACGGTGGAGAAACACAACTCCAAGGAAATACCCCCAAACTGTGTTCCTATATTGATGCAAAAGGACCTAAAATATAATCAGTTCCAGGAGATATATAAAATATAATATATAAATTATATAAAATATACTATCCCACCAACCAGCATTATTTGGATCATGATTCAGTATTATTGTTCTCGGTAAGATGTCTTCTTTTCCTTCTTCTAATTGCCTGCTTCTAGCTTTTACTATTTAATAGATCCACAATGATGCCTGTGACCTACCCTGCTGTTTCTGTAGAGGAAGGCTGGAAAAAACGATTAAAAACTAGGACTCTTGTGGCACTTTTTAAAAATGGGCACATTTTATTCCTGCATAAACTTGGGGGGATTACAGCACACCGCATCAGATGCGCGTAGGCATCTGATACAGTGAATTAGCAGCCAAGAAAATCTGTGCAATTTTGCATTTGTCGGTCTGCTTAGTGCAGGGGTCCCCATCCTCTGGTCCACGGACCGGTACCAGGGTGTGGCCTGTCCGGGCCACGCAAGCAGTGGGCGAGCAAGCAAAGCTCCCTCTATGTCTGCATGGAAAACACCCACCTGCCCACAATCCGTGGAAAAATGGTCTTCTATGAAACTGGTTCCTGGTGCCAGAAAGGTTGGGGAATGTTGGCTTAATAGCCACAAGTTCTTGGCTGCGAGAGATGGTGACTGAAAAAAAAAAGTAAAGAATGTAATTCATTTAAAAAAAACAGTATGGAAAAGGGGCAGACCAAATCTTTTCATAAGGGGAGAATCAGACTGCACATTGCATTGCGATCGTTCTGGTGAAACCAAGTTCTTTAAATAATTCCAAACATTTTTTCTAGCGGTTAAAAAAAACCAACCACCACCCTCCCTTGATCCATCATGTATCACACTGAAGGGGTGGCCTTCAAAAATTTTAGCAAGAGGTTCTCTGCCCAGTTGCTGGGGGGGGGGTATGGCCATTGTGGGTGTGGCCTAGTCAGCCTCCTGCACCACTGTGGGGGGCGTTTTTGCCCTCCCCGGGCTCCGGAGGCTTTTCTCGAGCCTCTGGGAGGGTAAAAATGGCCTCCCCAGGCTCTGGAGGCCCTCTGGAGGCCGGAAACGGGCCCGTTTCTGGTCTTTCCGAACTTCCGGTAGGCCAGTTTTTCGCCCTCCCTCAGCCTCCGTGCGTGCCCTGCACTTACCTGCATTCAAAATGGGCGGCGTGGGAGGGGAGGAGCGGGGAGGCGGAGCCAGCCAGGAATGGGATTTGAGGGTTCTCCAAACTGCACAGAATCTTAGCTAGAGGTTCTCCCGAACCCTTGCGAACCCTCAGCAGCCCCCCCCCCCCGAACCTTCCCTTATTACACGCCAGTCTTTTGATTTATTCCAAGTTCTCCCTTGCTCAGTTGGGATTTGTTTGATGTGAGCCTGATGAAGACGTCTTCGCTAAGGTTATGTAAAGAAAGGAGATTTTGTGATGGCTTTTCTCTCGTGCTAAGGGGGTTAGCAGAAACATCTTGTTGGGTTTTGCAATTCCCTCTTGGAGATCTTTCAAGTGCCACTCTTCAATGCTCGTATAGGTGGGTTTGTTTTTTTAAAAAAAATCTGTGGTCTGTCTCCATATTGAAACAAGAAACATTTCTAAACGGCTTGGAATCGCTAATGATTAAAGCAAGACATAGAGAGATTTACCCTTGTTGCAAGATTAGTGCTCCTCTGCTTTATTTTTCCTTTTTCCCCCCCCTCTCTCATTAACTTGTTGAATATGCAGTTAATTTATTTTTTAAAAAGCAGGTATTTATATTAACATATATATGCTTTATGGGCCAAAAATTAAAATGAATATGTTTAAAATTATTGATTTTATTGTCATTTTGTGATATAGACATTGTCATTTCTAATGTATACAGCTAAATGATGTCTTCAAAATCAAATAAAGCTTCATGTTAAATGTTTGGATTATCTATTTTATATTCCAACTGGTCAAAGTAAGGCAGTGGTGAAATCTAAATTTCTTTCCTACCGGTTCTGTGGGCGTGGCTTGGTGGGGGTCATGGGGGTTCTGTGGGCGTGGCTATGTAACCATGTGACTGGGGGATCAAAAGATAGAAACTCACTAAGAATGTCCTGCTGGAGCAGGGTTGGACTAGATGACCTCCAGGTCCCTTCCAGCCAATGGTGGGTTGCCCCCAGTTCACACAGGTTCTATAGAACCGGTAGTAAAACTGGCAGGAGGATCCGCCCACTGACCACAACATCATCAAAATGCTTCTGCGCATGCGCAGAAGAGGGTGCGCACGAGTGAATTGAGCGCGCGTGTGCTGCCCCATTGCGAACCAGTAGTAAAGGTAAGTAGAACTCACCCCTGCTTTCAGCCCCGGATTATCCTCTGAAGCTGTGTCTAGTGCCAGGTTTGTAGTCCTTCCTTCCTTCCTTTTTCTTTCCTTCCTTCCTTCCTTCCTTCCTTCCTTCCTTCCTTCCTTCCTTCCTTCCTTCCTTCCTTCCCTCCTCCCTCCCTCCCTCCCTCCCTCCCTCCCTACTTTCTTTCTCTCTCTCTCTCTCTCTTTCTTTCAAAAACGCACCACCACCCCGTTTTTTGCGGGAGCAAAAACGCAGCCCTCACCCCATCCCCATTTAAAAAAGGCTCCGATGATTATGTGCCACAGCTGTGATCCTCGGAGCCTTTTTTTTAACCTTTTAAAAGCGTTTTTTTACTACCGGCTCGGGAGAATAGGTAGTAAAAAAATGCTTTAAAAAAGAAAAAAAAAGGCTCCGATGATCGCGCGGCACAGCTGTGTTCGTCGGAGCCTTGTTTTTTACTTTTTTAAAGCATTTTTTTACCACCTATTCACCCGAGACGGTAGTAAAAAAATGCCTAAAAAGTAAAAAAAAAAAAAAAAGTTCCGACAATCAGCTGAGCGATGCCGGAACTTTCTTTTTTTACTTTTTAAAGTATTTTTAACTACTGGTTCTGGCATGTATCTCTGCATGTTTGCTTAACGCATTGTAAGCCGCCCTGAGTCTCCAGAGAAGGGCGGCATATAAATCAAATTAAAATAAACCACATTACTTCCTGGCATGACAACTGGGCGGGTGGGCAGAGCCTCACGCTAGGATTGCTACGGTTCTCCGAACCACCCGCCAAGCTCACTACCGAATTGGGTGATCCGGTCCGAACCGGGAGCATTTCACCCTGAAGTAAGGGCTGAAAGTACATCTGAGCTACTCCATATTCAGGAGCTATTTTGATTCCTATTTACCAAATATCAACATTCGAACCTCAGTTCCATGAAGCATCCACTGTTGTCCAAGTCACTGTATCTTAAAGAAAATTCATGAAGCCTTGGACTCCACCTCGTGATTTATAAAGTTTTGTGCTAGAGCAGTGATGGCTAACCTTTTTGTCGTTGCGTGCCTGCACCCATAATGCAATGCGCGAGTGACACCCCCCTCCCCCATGGCCTGCTCCTGCACATGCGCATGCGACCCGACTGCCCCGGTTTGGGCCTAGTAGACCTCCCTGCAGCCTCCTGGGATCAAAAATGGGCCGCCCCCCTTAGTCAGCCTCCCACATCACAGCGGGGGGGGAGGCGTTTTCGCCTTCCCCAGGCCCCAGAGGCTTTCCTTGAGTCTCTGGAAGGGTGAAAACTGCCTCCCCCGGGCTCTGGAGGCCCTCAGGAGGCCAGGAACGGCCCTGTTTTGGACTTCCAGAACTTCCGGGAGGCCCGTTTTCCCCCTCCCTGAGCCTCTGTGTGGGCCCTGCACTTACCTTGCATCCAAACGGGCTGCGTGGAGACTCCTGGGAGGGGAGGGGTGGGGAGGGCAGGGCCAGCCAGGGGTGGGATTTGGAGGTTGTCTGAACCGGCCATAACATTAGCTTTGGGTTCTTCTGAACCCGTAGCAGCCCACTCCTGTAAAGGACCTACCTGCTTCAACTTTTAAGACTTTGGGTGTGGTACTCTTTTCAGAGCCCCATAGTTGGGGGCATGATGATGAGGAAAAGGCCATTCTTTGTAGAGGCACTTTGGTTTTGGAGTGGCCTTTTCCTGAAACCTGATTAATACCAACATTCTTGTTTTTGTGGTATTCAGGTAAGATTATTCCGGCACATAATGTATTAGTTTATTTAATGAGTTTGCGAAATGCTGATTACATCATATAATTGATTCCCGTTGACATCTGATGTTCGTCACTGTTTACATTAGGACACATCTAAAATGCTTCAGTGGATTTCCCCCCCCCCTTTTTTTTAACTAAATCCACTACTAATGAGTTGCTCATCCCTGATTCTTATTTGACCAGTGATGTTTCATTAAATAAATGAATTGTGGCCATGGGATTACATGATGCTTTTAATTCAACATTTGCCAAATGTTCATGATTCTGCTGTTTTTAATTCTGGGGGCGGGTGGGGGGGGAATGCCTGATGATAAAGTGACTGATGATTTGAAAAAACACTGAAGGCCAAATCTTGGGGAGAGATTGATGGATGGATAGTAATGATAGAAAAGATAGATAGATAGATAGATAGATAGATAGATAGATAGATAGATAGATAGATAGAAAGAAATGACAGGCAGATAGAGATAGGTAAATGGGTAGGTAGATAGAAAGAAAGAGAGAGAGAGAAAGCGGAAAAGAAAGAAAGAGGGAAGGAGGGAGGGAGGGAGGGAGGGAGGGAAGGGAAGAGAAGGAAAGGAAAGGAAAGGAAAGGAAAGGAAAGGAAAGGAAAGGAAAGGAAAGGAAAGGAAAGGAAAGGAAAGGAAAGGAAAGGAAAGGAAAGGAGGAAGATTTTAATCTTGCCCTTTTATCTAATGAGCTCTAGGACACATTGATGTTGCTTCTCTTCCTTTTTGCCCTCAGAATAATCATTGATTCAACAGGTTTAGGTGCAGACATATTGGCCCTTCTCACACAGCATACTTAACCGGGTTAGAAAGAGTGTAAGTGTGTTGTGCAAATAATTTGACACCCTAATCCATGTGTTTATTGCTCCTTCTTAGCACTGTGTGGCTCTGTGTGGTGCTAAATTAGGTTAAGAAATTTAATTCTCCCTTCCTCTTCCTGAGACAAATGAACCCACCAAATGTGGAACGGTTAACTAGGAGTCTGAGATTTGTCTCTTTTTACTTTTCCGCCTCTTACACCATCTTGTGGAAAAGAACAGATTGCAAATATTTAAAGATGTCTCTGCCTTTATCCTCGTGACACTGAAACCGTGTATCTGCTGATTTTTCCTTAGCGGATAAGGAACAGCATTTCTCACTTTCGATAGCCTCAGTAAAGTTAATCACTCTGCAGCACGATGGTTTCCTTCCCTTTATTGGGGTTCCTCAAACTCCCATAATAGCTTCCAGATTTTGACAAAGTTTCTGCAAAATGCTTAGCTAAAGGGAGCTTGTTTGGATCTGGCTTCTTTGATTGACTCAACCAATAGTCCTTTATCAATGGCTTAAAGAAATCAGGATTATCCGAATACGTTAATCAGTTCAAGAGAATGTCAAGGAGCAAAAATCTACAACTCTTTGCATTTACAAAACTTATTTCTGCAAGAATTGCTAGGACTTAAGCAGATACCTGAGGTGATATTGCCACAGAATTGTATGTGGCTGAGGTAGAGAATGAGTCATTGGGAATAGAGGGAATAGAGTTTTTTAAAGTTTTACATGTAAATATGAGACTAGATCAGAGGTGGGTTTCAGCAGATTCTGACCAGTTCTGGAGAAACCGGTAGTAAAAAATTTTGACTGGCCCCATCCCCATCTATTCTCTGCCACCCAGCGGATCGGGAGGAAATGGGGATTTTGCAGTAACCTTCCCCTGGATTGGGGAGGTAATGGAGATTTTACAGTATCCTTCCCCTGCTACACCCATCAAGCCACGCCCACCAAGCCATGCCACGCCCACCAAGCCACACCCACAGAACCGGTAGTAAAAAAATTTGAAACCCACCACTGGAGTAGATCTGTTATGGAATGATGGGACCAAACAATTCCTGGGTCAGCCAGAGACAGTTTTATTGCGCAGTTTCAGAACCAGATTGGTATCTGCAATTCTGAACCAAGAAGAGCTCTGATACAACTGCTTTTATACATCTTCAAGACAAAGGATTTAGCAAGCACAGCAGTTTTCCATATATGGTTAACATACATTTGTTACATTATAATTGACACTTTCTAATTACTAAATTTTTTCATTATTTTCTAGTTCATAAAATTATTTTAGCTAAACAACCTTCCTCAATTCTGTGTTTGCTGATGTGTAGATTCATGACTGCTTTTGGATAATAATTAACTTCTTGTTTCAGATGGATGTCTTTGCATCCTTGACAGCTAGGCCCCTTAGAAGATATATATTACATATGGATGTCCTTGCATCCTTGACAGCTAGGCCCCTCAGAAGATATATATTACCAAGAATGGAATTTTAGCTAATTTAGTGTAATCTCTGAACAAGCACATTTCTTTCTTATAATAATGTGAATAAAGAGGGTCCTTCAGTGTTCATATAGCTGACCCTGTACTATTCCTACACCATTCACATTAGATCAACACAATATTCCTTAGTAACCTCGAGAAGATTGTGTGTTTTTCTTCACCATTCCACTGATAGCACAAATTAACTTTTAATTGTTGGGAGAAAAGTTCAGGTTCTCTGTTGTCAATTGTGAAATGTTCAGAACACAATAAGTATTGTGTGTGTGCTTAAAAACATCAGGACATGGTGATGTTCTCCTTTTCAGTCCTGGCTGGAACAGATATAGACATCTACCAAACCATGCCAATAAGGTCCTCCATCTTTTTAAAGGTCTCATCATTTGAGCAGAAAATATCAGATTAGAGGGGTCCTTGGTGCTAGCACTGATGATGTTATTTAGTTTGGGTAATGCAAGAAAACAAGCAAGCTCAGAGAGCACCAAGGACCCCTCATTTCAGTGGTGGGATTAAAATCATTT